TGAACTATCAGGAATTTTATTATTATTGAGGTAAAAGTTAGATATAATATTATATAAGTATTATGGAAAATGAGCTTCCGAGATCAAGCCTGTATTAATTAAATTTGTCTATACTAGATCAAGAAGCATCACAGAGAATTTATGAAATTAGAGTATATTGACTAACTATGAAGTGCGTCATTTACTATTTGTGTTTTGACATTTCTTATTGTAAATCATATAGATAACGTCCAACCCATCTTTTCACGGGAAGATGGGTTAAACGTTATCTGTACAATATTAAAATAAAAAATGTCAAAAACAAATAGTAAAGGGCGCACTTCATAGTTAGTCAATATACTCTAATTTCGTATTCTTCTATTACTATCCAGCATTATTTCGCACCAGTAGTACACATTTTCTGAATAAGACTCTGTACACCTCAGGTCACACATTTACTTTTATTATTTCGATCTTTTTTATCACAATTAAGAGAGTTAACTTCTTACCTATTATTCATTTTACTTAATTAATTATCTTATATTGTCACTTGTTATGATACATTCCATATTATATCGCTTACTCATTATTTTATCTATCAATACCGCCGTTATCACACAACTTCATGACAATCACTTCGTGGACACCTTATTTCATGGGTGTTGGTCAAAATCCCGACAAACAGAATCCCGACAGGTCATAATCCTGACAAAAAAATCCTGACAAAAAAATCCCGACAAATCCCTACAACAAAAAATTATTAAGTTCATTTAAGTTAGGGTAGGGTTAGGGTTTAGGTGATTATATAGTAAAATTGCTCAAATGAACACTTTTTGATCGTCGGGATTATGACCTGTCGGGATTTTGACCCAAACCCTCATTTCATAGATGATTAATCCACTGATAAGATTACTTTATAGATAATCAATTCATGATTTGCTTCACTGAATACTCATTTAATAGACAGTTTATTTCATCGACAGCTCATACATATGCGAAATAAATTGCCTAAAAATGAACTTAGTTGTGAATTGATTGCCTGTAAAATAAACTTATCTGTGAACTAATTGTCTGTGAAATAAGGCGTCTACAAAGGAAGCAGCACCGTTCTTACATAAGATACGATCATTTGTTACGCGATTACTATATAACTTATCTGATCTGGATCACAACTCGAGATCACTTTTTTTTGGCCCATATCAAGCTTCTAGAAATAGCTGTCGAATTCTATCAAAACATTAACATGCAGTTACCTTATTTTACTATGCCGCTAAAAAAAAAAAAAAGACTAAAGACTTTGACAATATAATCACATAATCACGATAAATTCATACTACAAATTCGGACATGTCTGCGTCCGAGTATGTCCGAGTTCGATATATATTACTCGGACATGTCTGAATGACAAGCAAACACAAACAAGAAAGCAAGAAAAAGAAAAAGCAAACAGCAAAAAAATGAGTAAGCAAAGTGTAAGCAAAAAGTGAAACAAGAAGCAAAAGCAAGGCAAGCACAAACAAGAAAGCAAGAAAGAACAAACAAAAGCAAGCAAGCAAAAAACACAAGCACAAAAGCAAAGCAAAAAGCAAACCAGAAGCAAAATAAAAAAAAGAATACATTAATGTGACAATAGTAATTTATTTTATTTTATATACTAATATTATTTAAAAAAAATATTGTTATATTTCACATGATTTTTTAAAATTTATAGTGTTAATGCATAATTAATTCGGCATTAAGATCGTACAACATAGAGATCGATAGGTATATTTTATTTGTTTGTGAAATTTGATAACAGATAATAGAAAAACCCGAACTGTAATTCTAGTCAAATTTGCAGATCATTTTGCCAGTTTTGAAGTCAAACCTGGCCAAATGATCTGCAAACTTGACCCATATGGGCGAAAATCTCCAGTTGAAACACAGTGATTATTAAATTTATAAGTAATTAGGTCACAATTAGGTCACAATTAGGTACATACGTGCAAAAATTTATAAACATCAGATTACAATCAGGTACAAATTTTTATGAGTAAATTCATAAGCGATTCATAAGCAATTCATTATCGGGCTTACAATCTCTGATCAAAAAATCACTTTTATTCTCAATAATCATGCCATATCACATAAATGATTGGCTCAAATTTTATTTAACCTAATCACTCACATTAAATCATCACGAAATTGGAGATTTTCGCCCATATGCAGAGCTACAGTTCATGGTAATTATCAAATTCACAAATCCGCCGATATAAGTTAAAATAAAATGATAATTTGAATATTTAAACCTTAAGCACTAAGTAAACTTATCTATAAAGCAAGCTTTTTAGTTAATATTTAATGATATTATCTGTTATTAAATTTATCTTTTACTTTGAGCGAATAAAATTACAATATATATATCAATAAATGTGGCAGATTAAAATGATTTTTTTTTTAGGAAAATTTAAAATTTTTTGGGGACATTTTTTAGGGTTAGGGTTAGTGTTAAAGTTAGGGTTTAGAGTTAGTTTTATTAATAAAAGAGTATAAGAAGGTTTTATAAGCTTTAAAGATGAGCAAGAAAGGTCCTCAGTTTCATTTTAATCCGATTTCATTATGATCTGCCACAATAAATAAGTGTCCATCATGTGACATGGCCTGAATTATAATTTAATTTCTTAATGCTGGCCAAAATTTCCAAAATTTTTTAATATTCAAATTTTTTCATGCCACTGATTTAAACTTATTGATTTACTCAACGATAATATTATTATTACAAATCTATAATATTAATTGCTGTGATCAATCGAATATCTATATAGTATTCACAAACATCACGAGAATCAAAAATCCTTATATATCAACTGCGAAAGAATCAATATTTTTCTTATTAGGATACAATATATAAATGAATCATAAACATTGCTTTGACTACTTTCTATTTTGAATATCGCAATTATATGTTTGATTTTAAAATCACGGCTGATGCCGATTCCCCGGTGATAACGATCAAATATTTATAAAACAATTGAATTTTCTATGGCCCGTGACCAATGAATGGCTCAAATTTCCCTTTTCTGTTATTATCATTTATGAAGTTCATAATATACTACGTATAGGTATTCATTGTTTATACGTAAGGAAAAAAAATAGGTCCGAAAAAAACTGTTGTGTGACAAACAATTTTATATCGCTCGTGACTTAAAACGCGGCATTTTCTCTTTATTCCTGGATTTCAAATTCTTTGATATAAGTAAATCTTTTAAAAAACATACCAATATAGTTTAATACATACAGTACCATAACCTTATAGCTCTTAGTGATGGCAGAAAATCAAACCTTCAAAGAATTTATGAACGCAATTAACGTGCCATATTCTTCAACCATGAAAATCGAGAATGCTCTCAATTACGTAATAGGATATTCAAACGCTAAAAATATTTTCGGAACTCTCCCGGATACTTCTATTCATGCACAAGTTATAAAGCTTACGGTTGATCCAAGTTCTATTGTTAATCGGAAAATTACAAATGATAAATTGTTTGATATTAAAAGTGCAACTATTTATCCAGTTTCAACAGAACTTTCAAACTTACGACATTCTTCCGGAGGATTCGATAACCTTGTTCCGACCATTGTGAAAATTATGATTAATAACCCTCGACTTACAAATATGAAGATTATTGTTGAGATTAAACACACCGCTAACGATGGATCTAATTATGAATGCACGTGGGAACCTGACATTTTAAAAGTTTTTCAGGAAAGATCTGTACACGACTATCTTTTGAATACAAAGGTTCCGCGAGAAAGTTGGAGCACTCTCAACCTTAATACACTACTTAACATAATGATGCCAAAATTATCTGGATTATCTAAATTATTTCCTTTACCACTTGAGTCGATATCATTACTAAATCGAATGATAAATAGAGAATTATCAGAAATAGATTTTTTATTTGGTTTAACAAAATCGAGTGTAATAGTTCGTAAAGCTAAATTAGTTTTGAATTCCGAAATGATGAACACAAGTATTAAACTTGACGCCACTGAAATTTCGAAGCTTATGAATTTAAAAGTTACAATCACTGGCCTAGATACAGATAAACAAAATATAGAATTTGAAGCCAGTGCAATGATCAAAGATCTTGAAGTCAAGGTGTTTACACATAACGAATATGAACAATTTATATCGATAAAGTTTAAGAATGGTACGCTTCTTTCTAAAATTGTGACAACTATGTTAGACGCTTCAAAAATAAAGATGTTTGATTATTTAACAGTTCCTTTACATAATATAACTTTGAATGATTTCCTAAGAATCAATAAAAATATTGAATTTGGTATGTCATTTAGTCCAGTAACAGAACAACAACCAACGATGGATTATAAGTTAAAAAATATTTATATTATTTCAAATAACAATAACATTTCTCGAACATGGCTGTCGCAACTACCTTCTCAAATTAAACCGCTTGAAAATCTTAATGAAACTATCAAGATATTAATATATGATCCGTTAGATATAACAAAATTGTCAGTCGGCTTAGAAATTAAATTTTATATTCCTATTAAAGACACTTCAATAAATCTTTCTGCAAAACTTACATATCAACCAATAACACCAGAACAATATATTATCACTATTGAATCACAAAATTCAGACAAGCCTTTAACAATTGAACAACTATTACAAAGCTTAAGTCTCCATGATACATTTATTAAGCTAAAAGAATTTGCACCAGTTATCTGGAATAATATTTTTAAACAAGTGAAAAGTATTGAATTTCAATGTCTTATTTTGCAAATTCAAAAATTATCAAATGAACAAGTAACCGAATACAAAATTAATAAATTCCAACTTAATATCTCAATTCCAAGTTTTGAAATCAAAAAAGATTTAATTGAATTTAAACAAACGAATCTCAAACTTGAATAT